TCATATTTCTTTTTCATGAGATAAGGAAGAACAAACATACATTAAAACACACTCCTGCGCATATTTAGAAGAATCAAGTTCAGTCCTCTTTTAAATTTCTGCCCTTATGGCTCCTTATGTTTCTGTTCACTTTGTACAATTAAAATGTTATCACTTCGTCAGTCATATTTCTAAAATTGTAAGTATCCGAAGTTAATATTAATGTTATGTCTTTTTATATATGTTTTATTACAATGAAAGCCTTTACAACGTACATAATAGACTCAATAAAAAGGCTTTATTTTGCAGAATTATTTGTTCCTTCTTAGAATCAAATTGCGTCGAAGATAATACTCTTGTAAAATAACTTACAATTTCTTTACCAAGTGCAGAACAGGTGAAGACGAAAGTAAAAGTTAATTAGTTGTTTAATCGATGAGCTGTTTAAGATTTATGGTAATTTATACAGCTTCGTCTTCTCTCCAATCTTATACAATTTGATAGGTATCAAATTGTTAATACGATATTTCGTTGTGTTAATAGCTAGTTTAATATGCGGTCAAATGTGGCCAACGCTTGATTAAGAAAATCCTGTATTTAATACTTCTAATACTAATGTATAAATTAATTAGTCAAATCAATTTTATTAGCAACGTAAGTAACGAAGTAATTTTCGAAATTGCTAACTTATTGTGTAAACAAGGTGCGCACTTTAGATTCCATTAATTACAGCCTTTGACTCGCAAAATACACAGAAAATGCACCAAAGCTTTCATGAAAATTAGTTGTTTGTAACTTCAGTTCGTAGCTAAGTTGATTGTACATTTTAGTTAATAGCGTGGAACAGGTCCGTTATAACATATCATACATTCTAATTTGTAGCTGTATTTGTGTTTATCGCACTTATGTTACAAGTTGTTATATGTTATAAAATTAACACCACAACCTTGTCTGTCTGTACCATGACTGAATGCAGCGTGTGTTAATTATGGTAGAATCGTAGTTTTTCCATTTCTTTTTTATACCGTGTACAATTCTCATCGAAATAAATGGAATTGGCAGTTTAATTCAGTTCTCCGACATTTCAATTAACGCGTGACGGGTTTCAGTCAGTGTGATGTGAGGTACTTGTATGATCCGTTTTTCCTTTTAAAATTGCGCAACAATATGCAACCTGAATAAATATTTACATTTCATCTTTTTTCTATTATTGCATAACCCATAGCTCGGTATACCCATTGATTTTAAACAAAGTAAAAAAATAGCATAGCGTATTCAACGTTCAATAAATCTACTTCAGACCCCACCCTTCGCAGACATAGTCCTTTCTCGTTCCCACCGCCGCTAGTGACACCAGCCCTTGCAAATCCAATAAATTAAACGTATTTATGCGCCGCCGTCCCGTATCCGTTTACCGCTAAACTCTCCCGGCCTTTGCGTATTTAATGCCAAAGCCACACCGATACTTTGATTGATTTACTTACATTTATTTGTATCAGATAGACTTAGTTACAATTCAGTTAAAATGTATTAGAGGAATTTTTATATATCATAGGCTGAATTTTATACAGGCACTTCGACTTCGCTCAGGGTTACTTGTTCAGAATAATCTCAGGACTCGAAATGGAGTGTAAATTAAATTAAACGAGCTGAGAATTTGCTGCGTACTTACATATCCGGTGACAATTCAGGCATTTTTTTTTCTTGTAACACTATTTACTTTCCATTAACTCGTAAGATAGAATGATGCTAAATATAAGTATAAGCTAAGGCTAAGTACGCTCTATAAATGTCAACCTAAGATATGATACATGCGCCGTAAAACATAAAACTGTCATTGTAAACATCCACTGCCCAAATATCTCTACAGGCCTATAAAGGATATGAACTCTCAGTCACTTAAAACTAAAGAGATAAGTGTGTTTTGAAAAGGTGTCGTTGGTTCAGAAGACGAATCTCCCTTCGCATACAAAGAATTGGCTTTATAAAGATTGACAATCTTGGCCTTCTGGCGCTCGCGCTTCATTGTGAATTCCATTGCAATACACGGAACTAGGGCAACATGTCTTCGGTCATTCTTACGCCTCCTTTCTTACTAGAACGATATTCTACTATGTACACGTATATTTATACGCTTTCTTTGTCTATCACAAAATAATGCTCTATGACTAATTTCATTTGTAGTACAACCTTAATTATAATCGGTTTTATAATACTTACATTAATTTTGTGTTGCGAGTTGATTTCTAAAAAACGTCAGTATTTTGATCGGGGCGTTATATCAGTCTTTTTAACAAATGAAATGGTAGCAACGTAAAACATAAAATGTTAAACATAGTACGATTGGTATTTGCCTTTATTTAGACAGTCACTGTTATCGACTCATATAAACTCATACAAACTGCACTAGTACATCGATGAGGGTTAATTCCAACGTAAAGTTATTTAAACTTTGTTTATAACCTGACTTGCAAAGGAGTTAATATTTTTAATATATCTTCACTAGCTTTCGCCCGCCACTCCGCCCGCGTGGAATTAAAAATAAAAACAAAAGTGAGTAGCCTATGTGTTCTTCTAGACTATCCTCTACGTCTATGCCAAATTTCATCGAAATCCGAACAACCGTTTAGGTAAGGCTACAAACTCTAACAAACATCCATCTAAACTTTCGCATTTATAATACTAGTAAGATTAGTAAGATTATAAAAATCTACAGATGATTTTTACAAATGTTGTAAAGAATTATCGGTAAAATACTAGCCTGATTGAAAGCCGTAGTAAATTGACACGTAAATATTTTGAAATAGAACTATAATCATTGATACCAGGTTTACGTTATTTCGAATAAAGTTGAGAAGGGTATGCGTCCCCGTGCCTCATCTACACGTTGAATTAATGTGGACATTAGCAAAGGATGAGTGGTAGGCATAGGCCGGAGTGGTACTAGAAGGATTTATCTGTGGACGGTAACAGATAGGTCAGATATTCAAGAATGCAAGGAAGTAATAATGTGGTATGATAATGAATATGGTAGCGGCGAAAGAGGTGTTCTAGGACTGCACCTAACGGAAGTCTGGAGTCTTCTTACCCCTTAGAGTCGGAGGTATACTCGTACAAAATCTCAATTCTTCCCTTACCTAAAAAAAAAGTCTGGAAACGAATCTATAAACCCTTGAGATTTTTGCAGATGTTGATGGGTAGCGGTGTTTACAAAACATCTGCAGATAATACAGATGCATAAAAAAACATTGAGTTCTAATGTACATAAAATATGGTTCATTTTCGAATGTGCCCGAACTGAATTGTAAGGTTCAATTTTGGTATTGAATAATTTAGAATGTTATGTTAAATAATAAGGATAACGATCGGCGTCGGTGACGGCTCACCAGCTGAGTCACCGCCGCGCCGCCGTCCATGTGTGTCGAGTGGCGACATTACGGTCCACATTATGTGTACACTGTGCACATGCCCCTTACTTTTAATTGAACCATAATATTTTTGTTTATTAATACACTAATTCACGGTTTTAAAAAAAATGAGTAACTACAGTTGCGTAACTGCAACTTAATAAATACGATTAATTATGTATTATTAAAGTTCTTTTAATATATTTTTATAGTAGGAGGTAAAAACAAACAAGAAACCACTCGATATCGCTAATTAAGCTAATAAGTTGCAGATATGTTGTGCCTATATTTAATGAACAGGCGGGATAAATAGAAAAATATGTTTTCTTCCCTTCTTCTTCCCTTATAATCTTAAACAAATCAACTATTTTAGGAAGGGAAACGGTTCTCGAATTCGACTTACTCGTCAGACGTAACACAAAAAAATCTATTTCATACCAGCTATCGTTGAGTTCGTGGTTAAAGTCGAGTGGGCCCAATCGGCAACAGACGTAGATTATGCAGGTTCTACGATTTTTTTAATGCAACTTTTTATATTCCTACTAGCTTTCGCCCGCGACTCCGTCCGCATGGAATTAAAAAAAACGAAAGTGAGTTGCCTATGTGTTCTTCCAGACTATCCTCTACATATATACTAAATTTCATCGAAATCCGTTCAGAAGTTTAGGCTACAAACTCTAACAAACATCCATCCATCCATCCATCCATCTAAACCTTCACATTTATAATATTAGTGTTAAAGATTGGAGGCGGGGTGAATGGAAAACGATCGATGGCGAAGTGAAAAAATATATTTGTTTTTACTTATTAATAAATTGTCATATATTAAAAAAAGAACAAAGTCAAAAATAAAAAATATAAAAAGCGTTCGATGTCTTATAAATTGTAAACGAGGTTGTAATTTACAACCTCATTTCTTAACAATTAGTATGATAATTAAGATATATTGGAATAACATGGATACGAATACGTATTGATTTTTGTTTATATAGATTCCTAGAATGTTATGATTAATGAAACTAATGTTTTTCAATTTACCAAATTAACCAACATGTAAAAGCACATGCTGATTCAAACTGCTTTATGAAGCAATAACATTTCACAGTATTCTCGAAATGTAATTTAAAAATATATCCGAATTCAAGTATTGCGAAATGTATCCCAACTATGTGGAGCGAACGAATCGCTAAGACGACGTACGTTCTTGCAACAAGAGAGCTTATAGTTCCCCAACAATCCCTTAATAAGGCTAGACTTCACGTGAACCCCGCTTTTATCTTTGTTTCGGTTCCACTTCTTTCAGTAACGTGACTCCAAGTCCTTAACGTCGTGTTTTTTATTGACGTGTGATTGTGTTTTATTGATCAATACAGCTTCTATGGTGTAGAAACTATTATTATGCCAGTTAGGAAATAAGGAGTAATAACGTTAATGTTTTTCAAAATGTTTAAAAAAAAATCAATTTTGAGAGTAGACAATAATTATCGCGATGAAAGGTTTTAGTAAGTTAAAGTAAATTAGTTTAAAATCTTGACGAATAGCCTCGATTACGGATGCTCTTGGTACCGTTTTATGACATATCTTGTTCAGATATAAAAATTGTGATTGTTACAGAAGCGTTGCGCCAAAGCCGGCCGTTACCGCACATACCTGACCTGCCGGATGGGGAAGGCACCAGCGCCGCGCCCCCAACACCCCAGCTACTCGAGACCGCTAACAGGTTCCTATTTACAACATGCTTCCTTAATTGAATACGACTATAGGGACAACTTCACTAATATACTGCAAAATGTCTCGGTTTAAAATGAAATTTAGTTATTGTTGATAATTAAAGGGCACTGATAAGTCCCGCGATTGCTGCTAGGTTGTCTATATAGCTCTGTCGGAAATATACGTCTAGGATTAAAGTAGTGCTATTAATCCTGTTACTTTATCCAGTTTAAGTACTTTCTTGTCATATTGCTTTGTGCGTAGACCGCCTTCTTTAGGAAACCTTTTTATGTAAACAAAAAAAAGCGAGGGTCTCGCCAGATGTTAAAATACAGAACTTTATTATAAAGATCCCGCAATACCCAGAGAACGAACGCTTTGTATATGTATAAAAAGGGTATGGGCAGGAAAACCGGCAGCAGCATTTACATCACATTTTTATTTAATTTGCATGTTCTTTTGAAGTTTCTAAGTACATCTAGTAAATGTACAAAGAACGCTTTTTGCACAGATGGACGTCAAAGGAAGATCTTCTCGCCCACCAAGAAGACGATGATCCCCAACTGTTCGTTGCATTGTACGACTTCCAGGCGGGAGGCGAAAATCAGCTTAGCCTCAAGAAAGGTAACTCCAACGGATATAAAGTTGCGGGGCTTTAATATGCCCGACTACGGAACCCACAGTGAAATGTACGGTCTATGCTCTGAGGTAGGAAATTAAATTGTGAAGTTTTCCTTTATATGAACTGTACTGACGGTCAGACGTTGGGGTGGTGGAGTAACATAATCCGCTTATACTGTACTGAAATAATTTCTTCCGTATTACAAATTTCCCCTTTGTAGTTAAACTACTTTACAATAAGAACTTTTGAGCCAGAACGTAACGTCTACTTCTCGGAGCAGTTAATTAATTAGTGAAGCCGTCTAAAGTTTTCTAGTTATAAAGAAAAACTATTATTAATTTCTTGTTGGTTCGTTGAGGTAACTAAGAGGTTTTTTCCAATTTTTAAAATTTAGACGGTTATATCATGTTTGTAATACTTGACATTCAAATATTTGTTGCACAATTAAATAAAAAAAAGAAAATTTTAAAAAATTACTACTTACATACTCATTTTAAAACGTCACGATTCTGTTTTAGCGTGTTCGGTAAACTAACAGAAACACTAAACTAGGTCGTACATTGATAAAAGAAATGATAATAATTGGATGAGACTCTTTCTCGATTTGTCGGAAAATGTCAGCACACCTTACAGAAGCATTTCACTCCGATGCGCCATCCATACCCACTTGCAATTAAGACAGGTGCGCTCACTAATTAATACAAAATTAATTCTCTTAAAGCAATTATGCTCTCCATAGGTTTCATCTGAACCAATTTAATGTAGAACATAATACGTAGTTATTGTTCAGATCTAAGCCAGCTATTTTGTACGTTATAAATAAGACTTCGATATTTCCACAGTGGAATATTTATATGTACAATTTTAAAAGGCTCACTGAAATAGATATTACTGCGGTATTGAATTTTATTTTATCGGAAACGGGGAAACGAGGAAACTGGCCGAGATTCATTTCCTTTCCAATAAATAAAATGTAATATCATTTTCAGATGCAAACGAGAAATACGCGCAATTTTAATTATATTTGTAAAGCAGACATATTTTAATTAAACTTTTCATTTTGTATAATACCAACGAATGTAAATGACAAATTCAGTCGTGTTTCAAATTATTCTGAAATACATTTACTAAATTTAATACAAAGTAAAATTGAATCTAGAAAACGTCTATTAAACAATTAGGACATTTTATTTTTAATTATAGTGATACCTGGATTTAAATACTTCTTTAAAGATTTTCTTTAACTCTACGCACAGAAACCTATTTATTTCCTTACAATTTTACAGTCAGAGTTCCTTGGGCAATTGTATAGATGACCTTTCCAACTGTTCAATGGAGAACTATTGATTTGTTGAGCAAAAAACGCTACGAACGATGACTCTATGCTTTAACTTTGCATTTTGTTCTGTCGTTTTTATTTACTCCTACTCGTTTCTGAGATTAAAATCTGCTTAAAAGAAAATCTGAGGAGTTGTTTGAATTCACGGTTTTTAAACAGTTTAAATTCACGTAATAGAACATTTTTATTGCAAAGGTTTTCTTGGCATTGGATAATGGCGATGATTTGTGTATTTCTATACGGATAAGGTGTTCGTTCAAAATTTAACTGAGTTCAAAATAACAATGGGTATGCAAACATATAGGAGCTCTATCGATCCATTTACGTATGATATCCAAGTACTAATTTGGGACGGAATGGCCAATGCTTGTAGGTGGCACGCAATCCAATCAAGTATTAGACTTGATGATCGCTGATTGCACTTTAAATGTTGAATTAATTATTTAGAAGACACTTTGGATTTGAATAAATCATTCTTATCCCATTTTTCTAAATAATTATTTAATTTTACATAAACGACGACATAGTGAAAATATGTTTGTCTTCAAATGTTTTATTTCCTCTTGGTATCATAAAGGAGAAATGCTTATAGAGGAAACAATCAATTGAGACTGTTTCGTTCGTTCGCCGATTTACATTTCCCGGTCCCGAATTATATTAATTTGGTGCCAGTAATTCTTGACTTTGTTCTTTTTCTCAGAACTAATCAACAAGAAGCCCATAAATGTTTCTTGTGAAAAGTTTTTAAATTACCTTTTAGTAAATAATCCGATCGTGGAAAGCAACATTTATTAATAGGAATCGATACGAGCATTTCTAAGATTTGTGTATTACAACTAGCTTTCGTCTGCCATCCCGACCGCGTGGATATAAGAAAATTACCAAAGTTAAAAGCCTATGTGTTCTTCCAAACTATCCTCTACGTTTTTGCCAAATTTCACCGACATCCGTTCAGTCGTTTAGGCTAAAAACTCGTAACAAACATCCATTCCTCTATCCATATAAACTTTTGCATTTACGATTTTAGTAAGATCCGAGCAATTATAAACAACGCCAGTTATGTAATTATAACCGTGTCAGTACAAGTTTTAATAGATTACAATGTTTTTTTTATTCATTGATACATATTTTTATTCTATCTCGTATAAAATTATCTCTTAAAAGGTTGGTAACCTCTTACCGGCTAACGATGTGTAGGACGGGCCGCTACTAGTCAGAGCGACGACCTCACTTGTTGGATCTTACTGCTTAGTCTTCGTTAGTTGGTGTAATCTCATCAAATGTCCTGAAAGGAAAATAAGGCAATTATAAGAGTTTTTTACATTTTTATATGCAGTGATGTTTTAAACATAGTAAAACGTTTGTTCATTTTAAATGTCATTTTCTTCTATTCAAAGTAACTAGGATATAGGTAGACCTTGAAAGAACATACATAAATTTAAGAAACTTCATTTTTCTTGAATATTACTAGGTTATGTTTTTCAATTTAATATTTTAAACCCCTGTAGAATTAGTTTTATTAAATGCCTTAAAGCAATCTATTTCGCTCTCAATGGAAGCCCTCATTGCTGATTGGCTTTTCATGGAACATTTGCAGATAAATGGGACAATATTTTAATCTGTAAAATTCAAGGAACTTTAAATAAAACGGTTAAGAGTAAAAGCTATCTTTACAGTAAATCAATTATGAGGACATTAATTTTTTTTTAAATTATAAGCGGGTATATAGTGATGCAATAAGCAACTGAAAAAACCTAAATAGTTATGGTAAATTCATTTGTTTTTTTTTTGTAAATATTTAATGAAAAATCTGCCAAAGCATTCTGTTTTACTGGCAAAATTAAAATGTCAATCCTTCGGCTTCTGATAGCTCTGTGTAATTTCCAATGCGAGAAAGAACTTTAATTGTGCCTTCAAAAACAATATGAAGTTTGATCGGTGGGTTTAAACGGGTCTAAAGTGGCTGTCACTGGAAAATTGCACCGACGTAGTTTGCTCAAAGCCGTTCGAGGAGTCAAAGCGGTGCGTGCAGTTGACAGAATTCAAACAGAGCGTTTGCGCGTCTTTGTTCAAAGTTGCGCCATTTTGAAGTTTCTGTATTTGAACATGTTATTACTGAAATTGTGCGCCTCGATACGATGCATACAACGACTTCTAGCTGGTTTTAAATACGATATGAGACATCTTAAATTATTTGCCCTATTTATTAACTATTAATAGCATCATTATCATTGAAAATTATTGAACCAATTTTGGTTTCATGATTTGTAGATACATTGTTATTGCTTCCTGAATATCCATTTCATAAGTAGGCCAAACTTGAAAGTGGATGAATGCACCTTTTAATTATGTTAACTCTAGTAGGCAGTAAGGAATCAGATCAATAGATATTATTACATCTCCTATTTAAAAAAAAATTATGAAGTATAGTCTTTAGAATTTTTTTTTAACCGTGAGCACCGTAGAACTTTGTTGTTCATAATCACAAGATTTTTCCTCAGGCACCAAATAAAAGAAAACCCAGCACCAGAGCATATAATTACGCAAGTCTTGTTAAAAGTTATCCTTTCAGGCGGGAAGAATATTTTCTCTTTTAAGTTATCTAGAGCATTTCAAAGGGATAAAGAAGTTACTTTCTTCCCCTTATTAATTTCAAGACTTGACGTATTTTTACCCATCTTGTTGCATGTTACTATTTTAGTAATATATTGTGCGTTGGAAAGGAGCATAATAATTTGAGAATGCATTACTTAGGGTTTTAATTGGTTTTGTTTAGTAGGAAACAATCGGTCACAACTAGAGAAATAATCCAATCAGTATCAATCTTATATACTGCACACATTAACTTTGTAAGTATTATTAAGCCCTTTTCAACATGTCAATATACGCACATATTGACTGGGCATCTGATTGAATTCTGATGCTTTTAGTACTCCCCCTCTATAGGCGTTGAAAGCTTTGATATATACTACATTCAGGGATGTCACCATTTCGCTTGTTACAACTATGATATAATTTTGTATAGTTAACTGTAAGGAACTTAATTTAGACAATAAAATACAAGAATATCGTCATTTTGTTACCATACCGGTTATGTTACGCTTTTCTACATGCCATTCGAAAATCTTCAAGCCTCAAATTCTAATACACATTTGTATGTAGAACTTGTCATTTTTTTTCAAACATTCGACTACTGTATAATATTTAAATATGTGAAAATAAATTCGTGTATAAATTACTTCCATGACCGCCGCATTTAAATGTTTTTCTAATAATCAAAACGAAGCTATTGATCATATATCATATAAATATTATAAATGAGAAAGTTACGATGGATGGATGTTTGTAAGCGTTTGTAGCCTAAACGGCTGAACGGATCTCCATAAAATTTGGCACAGGTTTAGAGCATAGTCTGGTAGAACACATAGGCTACTTTTTATCCCTGGAATAGTAACGGTTCCCATGGGATTCATTAATTTAGCTGTTTAATGTTTACTCGATCATTCAGCAACGGTTCAACATATTTTATTGAAATTTGGCACAGCTATAAAACATAGTCTGGAGTACACATGGGATTACGGTAAATAAGTTTCATCCCCGAGAAATGTCCGGTTCCCGTGGGATACATAGCTTTTTGTTGTTTACATAGTTCGTATTCTAATACCATGCGGACGAAGTCGCGGGCAACAGGTAGTATTTTATAAATGTTAACGAGCGTTGGTTACGTCAACGTATGCAATATTATGATAGCAAACGGTTTTTCATCGAATTATATGCGATGCATTAATAATCCGATAACGATCAACCCTGGGGGTGCGTCGGTAGCGCGACCAATTCAATTACCGACGTGAATTCCGTAATTGGTTAACTCGTTAAGGACATTTCGCGTACATATGAGTTGTACCTACATATTGTAATATTAATAATTATAATTGTAGTAAAATATTCACATATATTTTTATACCTTATTTTCTATGTAATGTATTGAGTAAAATATATAATTACATTTATTCTTAATACACAACAGCGCAGTTTAACTAACTATATTTCCTCAAAAATGGCGCTAGAGTCACAGTATAAAAAGGTTAACAGTGTAAAACACTATCTACGAGTAAATTGTATTATGATAATGGTTGAGAACTTTTAATGATGTTTTAGTACATGTCTTTCAATTTAATGTTTATTTTTGCTATTAATAATTTATTTCGTCACCAATTTTGAATCAGGTCGTTGAACACAAGCAGAAAAAAGCGCACAATGACTCACTAAAAAGTCATGTAAAATATTTCATATCCGCAATAATTAATGATGTAACGAATGAGTGATTTCTCTATTGTAATAAGTTGTCACCAAATCTAATTGAACAAAAATTCTGTGCAAATCTCAACGCGATTCTTTTCCCGACTATTGTTGATGCAAGTTGCGTTAATAGTAACGATTGAAATAACGAAATGTGTATTAATAATTACAATGTAAGTTTTGAGTGGTACTATTTATGTTTACAGGTGAACAGGTGAGGATCATGAGCTACAACAAGAGCGGCGAGTGGTGCGAGGCGCACACCCTGTCGGGCGGCCGTGTGGGTTGGGTACCGAGCAACTACGTTACCCCTGTCAATTCCCTGGAAAAACACTCGTGGTACCACGGACCGATATCTCGCAACGCAGCCGAATATCTACTTTCTTCTGGCATCAATGGCAGCTTTCTGGTAAGTGTTTGCCTTGTAATATTTTTTTGCTATTATAATATGAAAATTCATTTCTTATTTAATGTGTTAAGATCATATGATATATTTATCTCAAACCAACCTTCCCTTTTAATATTTTTCTTGTAACTGTTGTAGGCTCATGTGCCAGGATTTTCATAACAGCTGTAAAGTAATTATGAAATCTTACAAATGTGGGCTTCTTTGAATGTGTATGCTGACCGTCCATTTATTGTAGTTTCTGTCTTAATTCTGTTATAAAATGGTGAACGGCTTTTATTGATTATGGTTAATTATGTTATTACAGGTCCGCGAGTCGGAGTCCAGTCCGGGCCAGAGGAGTATCTCCCTGCGTTACGAAGGCCGCGTCTACCATTACCGCATCAACGAGGACTCTGACGGAAAGGTATTGTCTTTTTGCATTTTTACTAGAACAATAAATGTATTCTGACATAAGCTAAATTGAACTTATGGTTGTTAAACAGTTGATCTGTTTGTGACATACCATAATACTTATTTAAACTAACACACAAAAAACGGAAGGTATTGGGAAAGGCATAGGTCTGGACATAGGTCCAGCAGTGGGCAAACAAATCATCGACGAAACGTCGACGGCTAAAACATCTGGAATTGTCTTCTAAATTAGCAAATTAAAACGGATGCCAAAGTCAAATTTTTTGGCTTGATATTTTACACGGACAAATATCATAGAATTTTTTATACTAGGTAAAGCTTTCAAGTATGCTTTTCGAGTTATACGAATCTAATATGTTCAAATCATTCCATAGGTGTATGTGACATCAGAATCGAAGTTCGGTACATTGGCTGAGTTGGTTCACCATCATTCAGTGTTGGGTGATGGACTCATTACTCAGCTGTTGTACCCGGCGCCGAAGCGTAATAAGCCGACAGTGTTCCCGCTCGCTCCACCAGATGAGTGGGAGATCGACCGCACTGATATTGTCATGAAACACAAGCTCGGCGGAGGACAGTATGGTGATGTCTACGAGGCCGCATGGAAACGGGGAAATATTACTGTTAGTATGGTTTTTGTCCCGTTCATCTGTTATTATAAATAGGAAAGATTTGTTTTTTTTGTATGTGACATAGCTCAAAAATTACTGGGTCGATTTTAGAAATTTTTTACCGTTAGAAAAGTAATTTAGCTATATATTTGTTAAACTCACGCGAAAATAACGTAGCTGGTGCAACACCACATCCAGAAAGACGGGCATGAATGTAGAAGTTTTTGAACGTTTTGTCTTTCGAGTATGAAAACAATTCTAACCAAGAGGATAGATGGGAAAGGGAAATATATTTTTCTGAACTTACTCTCCTCTGTTCAATATAGCTTGGTAATGTGTGTAACCTTTCTGCTCATATCAGACGTGTATGAGTCATGACGTTTTTTTTTTTAACAAACTAAATTTTTCACTTGCTCACTGGTATTTAAAAATAAATCAACTCTTTTTTGTATAGTGAAGTTAAGCTCGTTTATGTGTGCTTTTTTTTAAGGTTTTTTATCTGTCAATATATTTGTTTTGAAACCAACGTTTTTGATCAAATGTAACATGGAGTCATACAATTTTAGAAAGCAGACGTTAAATTAATATCTTAGTAGCTTTCGCTCGCGACTTCGTCCGCGTGAAATTATAATACAAAAGTGAGTAGCCTATATGTTCATTCAGACTATCCCCTACATCGATACCAAATTTCATCGAAATCCGTTCAGTCGTTTAGGCTACAAACTCTAACAAACATCCATCCATCCATTCATCCATCTAAACTTTCGCATTTATAATATTAGTATGACTACTAACTTAATATCACTATTATGTTCTCTTGAAAATGTTTTTGTGTTGTTCAACAGGTTGCAGTGAAAACTCTGAAGGACGATACGATGGCATTGAAAGATTTCCTTGAAGAGGCTGCCATAATGAAGGAGATGCGACATCCTAACTTGGTGCAACTGCTCGGCGTGTGCACACGCGAGCCGCCTTTCTTCATCATCACCGAGTTCATGAGCCGAGGAAACCTGCTCGATTATCTCCGCACCGAGAGCCGTGATCACATCGACGCTGTAGTTCTCATGTATATGGCGACGCAGATTGCCTCAGGAATGAGCTACTTGGAGAGTCGCTCCTTCATACACAGGTATATTATTTGATATCATACTAATATTTTAAATGCGAAAGTTTAGTGGCATGGATGTTTGTAAGAGTTTGTAGCCTAAACGGCTGAACCGATTTAAATGAAATTTGGTACAGATGTTGAGGATAGCCTAGAAGGATACATAGGCTACCCACATTTGTTTTTGTTTAATTCCACGCAGACGGAGTCGCGGGCGAAAGCTAGTTCATAATCTTGACTGATTTTGTGGGGAAATGCCTACGCATATTTGGAGTCTATTGGCCCTAGAGTCTGAATATGTCGAATCGCAATGAATAAAACCCTAAGGTTGTCGCCAACGGCGTTAATAATGGGAGATGGGATCTCCGCACGTAACAGACTAACTCACAATGATAATTGGGGCTTTCCGTTATTAAGATATATCTCAAGCTAAATAATTGTATATATAAGTACAAAATGTTACAATGTTTTGTTAAAAGTTAGCTCCACGTTTGCACAAAAATTCACTAATTTCTTAGGGCCTTACATAAATAACAGTATTTTAAATAAATGTGACATTGAAAAAGATTCCCTTTATACTGCTAAACTAAAATTGAAGTCGTGGTTGTTGAAACTTACATATGCGGACACAGAAAGAATTCTAAAAATAGTGCAATAAGAATTAATAAGCATTGATTTATTATTACTATAATTTACCACAATTTTGCACGTTTTACTCTTTTTTACTACATTTGTTTAGTTAGTTTACGTTGTAATTATAGCTAGATATGTTGCGTCTAATGATGTACAACTAGCATTTTATTTAATTCACTGAGCTGGGTCTCCGCGACACAGGCTGTGCCTAGCGCGAGGACCCTAGGTCAATTTTCTGTAACCATTTCTTGTTAAATAAATTATTTTATTATAATTATTTAAACATACATCAAAATTCAGAGAATAGACATTTACTTTCTTATTTAAAAACTAAAAATTATGTAGTAACAACAAAAAGACTAATTGTCAAGAGTTATTAGTATTCCAGTTCCATAAAATGCTATAAAAAATTGAAATATGTAAAAAGCGCTATTGATTTGGAGTGATTTTTTTATTAAAATCGAATAACCGACAGTAGTTAGATGAAATACTGAATGAACAATTGTGAATGGTACTTCAATAAGTAATTTCATGTTAACAGAGATTTGGCTGCCCGCAACTGCCTCGTTGGGGAGAACCATCTAGTGAAAGTGGCAGATTTCGGTCTGGCTAGACTAATGCGGGACGATACTTACACCGCTCACGCCGGGGCTAAGTTCCCCATCAAGTGGACCGCGCCCGAGGGACTTGCTTATAACACCTTTAGCACAAAGTCCGACGTGTGGGCGTTCGGGATACTACTCTGGGAGATTGCTACATATGGAATGTCTCCATACCCGCGTGTCGACTTGGCTGAAGTCTATCACATGCTTGAAAAGGTATGTTAACTCAATTTTCCTTCTTACAGTATGTAGCGCCAGGCAATGATGCTAGATCTAGGGCGCGCTTCCTCTCCCGACCAAATATTTTAATACTATTATACTAGCTATCTATTTATATTAATATAATAAAGCGTAAACTATTAATGTAATATATATAATGTAAAAAGACAGTGCAGAAATCAATATGTTATAGTGATAACGGTGGCTTTAGCCTTTAATATAAGCAGTGGCTTTAGTGTAGACAATATTTGTTAATTACAAAACTAAAAGCTACTTTTTCATATTCCATCCATACTTTCTTCAGTCTTCCTCTACCTTTGGTACTATCCATATTCAATCACTCACTCGTCAGAAGTGAAGTTAACGTGTAGGAATCGTGGATAGAACCGAGTTTGTTTGTATAAAAATGTTAAGTTTGTTTGCCAATTATTTTATGTTTCTTAACATTATTACCCTTACTTTTATGGCATGTTATTTGAGGTGTTTTACTATTATTTGTTTATATTATTTTATTGCTGTTTGTAATAAAAATACTATTATTTATATAAGTTTATATATAAGTTAACTGATCCATTATAACTCTTCTGATATATCTAGAGCTTTGTACAGTACTAAGTATTTAAGTTAGCAATTAAGGCACAAGAATACTTACAGCAAAGTTTGTCTTGTTTCGGTTGTGTAGAGCATTCTCTTTGTCGCTTAATGTAATAAATGACAATAATAATAAAGAGATTATTATAAACAGCACATTTAAATTGAAGAATTAGAAAATGTAATCTAATGCATCTGAGGCTATTTATATTTCACAAGTTATAAACCGTGTTTCATTTTTAAAATAAAAAAAAGTTTGCCAAACCTGTTTGTTTATATCCTTTGTTGTCTAATTGTTGTCTTTTGTTTCGTACTGATTACCAATGTAGTCAATATAAATTTATCTTGAAGTAACTCTACTTATGAAAACATCTAACTCACTTTCGCATTTGCTTTAGTCAATTTTGCGAATAGTGCAATCCCCCAAAGTTTATTTTGGCCATAGTAAATATTTTTTATAAACGTTTTCTTCAAAAAATTTCAATGGAGTAAGCATCAACTTGCTGCATTGAAATTTTTATTTTATACTCAGTAACGTACCCAACAGCTTTTAAAGCCATTGACTCTCATCTCCGAAATCACTAATTACCGAATAATTATGAAAAATCGATAGATTTATTTCACAAAATAACCCAGACTTTAAATCAATTACAGTTCTTGTGTACACATGTAAGACTATAAAAGGTTATCGAAGTATCTCCCAAATTTACGGGTAAAAGCGTTTAAAATAACAAAGTGTCTACTTCAATGTCAATGTGTAGAGGACAAAGTAAATAACTGTGGGCATCGCAGGGTTAATTATTTTTTTTAATCTACCCCATGGATTTTTTTCCGGTAATTATTTAAAGTGACAAAATAAAACTACATAAAGATAAAACCAAAGATGCAGTATGTCTTTTAATGTTCTTTTACATTTGTTTCGAAAATCGCGGTAGAGATTAATGGTGCTTTTCTATTCTTTCTCAGTTTTTATATGTATTGAGGGGAAACTCTAAGTAAACATTTTATAATATCTGATAAACCAATATTTAACATTTTATTTTTATTAAAAGATTCAATTCAAAATGTATCTTTATTAAATCATTATTTTCACACGTACTTTTGTAATACTTATATTATTAAATAACCTTAGAAAACTAAATTATAAGATGACATTCGCGTCGACACAACATTGAATGAGAGTAAAGAGTGAAAATAAAGAAAAATAAAAAGGTTTTATACCATTTTACTAAAAACGACCCAAAAACAAAGTGTTAACAATAATCGAAAAACAGAGCAAACCCTTAACTTTTACTTTACCACAAATTGACTAAACAATGAAACATTTTTTAAACAAAAAGTTGACATGAGGAACTTGCACATTGTTGCTCAAACATGTTGTGTAAGACGCGAAATACAACAGTAGCGAGAAAATCAAACACCGCGATAACAAAATGACCCGTGCTCGATTGCCTTGCCTTGAATAAAAAAGTAATCTTGTACCGCTCCTGCAATTATTATTCACAATTTTCGAAAACAAATATACAAACAAAGTCACAGTTACGAGCATCGACACACTTCAAAAGGTGAAAATTTATTTGAGTGTTTTCGAAGCATATATTTTTATTCTATAACCATTTTATGGCACCGCAATAGATGCATCGTTATAATTTTCATTACAGATTAATAATAATAACAAAAGTGCTCGCAACTTTACAAAATATACATTTGTATCAAACACACACTTATAATCTTTGTACAAAGCAAAGAAAACGTTTTCCTATCCTAGTTAACTCCAAACATTTAACAGTCCTTGCTTTTGAGTTGTAAGCTGATAGGGTTGTTTCTAAATATTTTCAAACAATGCATGCGGCAGTCTTTCACTACTCGTTATATACATTAACCTGGTAATTGGGCGATTACTTCCGTCGAATGGTCTAGCAATGGACAGCGTCGGTGCATAGATGTTTCTTGCATAGTGTGCACTGCGGCCGACTCACCGCTATCCTCGAGAATATCTCCGACGCTGATAGTTCTTTACTCAGTTTACTGCACATCGAATATGACACCGACTTCTTTGAGAAATCTTTGGCGGGCACGCACGTGCGTGCTCGCACTGGACCAATCTCTTGCCCCGTTTCAACTGTCAAATAAAATATTACATTAAATGGTAAATTTCAATTAATTAATTTGTTTCGTAATTAAATAAATTAAAATGAGTTAAATACAACTATTACCTAGTTTTGCTGATTCGGATGTTATAACTATGCATAAGAATGCCATCCCTGGAATGTAGCAGTCAATGTTTGGAACCTGTAAATGTTTAAAAGTCTAGTTTTGCTTATATCAGATTAAATAAATTTACTGGAAAGTTAATTTGGTACTTGCAGTAATATTCGCATAATCCGGATGATCAGGGTCCCAACAGCCGGGGTGGTCGAACGATAGACAGTTGTAACACTGGATGCCTTTAGTTGATGGTGAAACAAATTTCTTCGGTTTGGCTTTTTTATGTTTCCCTAAAATATGACATGAAGTTATAAATGTATCAAATCAGTATTTTAATTAGCTTAATTAAAACTTTTAATAGGAAAGTGAATGTTAAAGAAAAATCTATATTTCAAATATTTGCATTCACTAAAATTGTAAAAATATTATGAATTAAGTATGAAACTTGAAAAAATATATAATCTATGTGTCTATTTTTATCATACCTGTAACTATGAGGGTAACTAGGAGGAGGTACACGAAGGTAATCTTCGATGTCAGCATCATAGGCCCCCGAGGAGAGCGTCGTTGCACTTTTTTTATTACGAATTAATTAATTAAAAACGGCAATGATGCGATTAATGGGCGACCCGCAGAAAGACTGACGAAGTGATCGGTCGTGTCGCGTTTATAGCTTTACTCCAAACAATGATGCTTGTTTTGGTTTCGGCATCACGCGAACACATACAGGCTGTTCCGATATTCATTGCGCGTGAATTCTTCGAGAAATTGTATTTTTTGAAAATATTTCAGTGTAAGGAAGATTTGCATTTCGGTTTTGATTATGTTTAAAATGTTTTTAAATATATGCTAAACAAAAAAGATGACTTCCTTAAAAACATTACTTATTTATTTTTAAAATTAAAGGTTTTAACTATTGGCCTAATACTAAACCTAAAAGTCATTAGGCATGGCGCCATAAAACGTTTCCAATTTAAATAAGATTCGTAACTACAGAGTTAAACCCTATCAGTTTCAGGTTCAGAAGAATTTCGTAATTGAACATTTTTTTATAATCAACCTTATACATGACATAAGAATTGTCCACTAGAAAACCAATTAAACATTTGTGTAATAGTACAATTTTCATCATGTTTTACTAAAAATGCACTTTTGTATAAAAATACGCTTCCTTAAATAAATTGTTGGCAGATTGTAAGATCAAATTAAAATAGAACTTCATTAAAAACAAATATTTCAATTATTAATGGCGCGCACGCTAAAAGAAGTATTCCTTTTCCATATTTAATGAGAAATATGAAACAGCATGTATAAATGCTAAATCTAGTAGTAATGTTTATGTATATATTTTTGTTGATTGTATACGGCGTGGTGCACGGCTGCGAACTACCAACGTACACTAATCCATTAGTTATTTGTACACATAAACACACTTCATTATTAATAGTTGGTTTACTAATCGCGTGGCTATGCGGTTGTATTTGCACTTTGTAACTCCATGTTTGGTTCGGCAACGCTTCATGTACGATCATGAAATACGATCGACTTCAATATACGTTACATGTCTACTTCACATCAATCAATCATTCATACCAATTACATTTTAAGTTGATGAATGAAATGTTGCATTCAATTACTCGAAGTCTTAACTTAACTGAACAAAATATCACTACGATTAGTATTTTTCAGGTTTAGCGTATGTACTGTCGCACTCAGAGTCCCTTAGTAACAATGAAGAATTAACTTTGCCAGTAAATCTTATTAGCTTTTAATAGTATGACAATTATTAACATAACACCATTAAGAAGCAGACCTATCATTTCTTGACACTGCAGTGCCAGTGCCCGGTGCACTTTAAATTACTTATAATAGTAGATATTTATGATGGTATAATTGTTTCGCAGGGATACCGCATGGAGTGCCCGCCTGGCTGCCCGGCTGCCGTGTATGAGCTTATGCGCGGCTGCTGGCAGTGGAACCCGGCAGACAGGCCCACCTTCCGAGAGATACACCACGCCCTCGAGCATATGTTTCAAGATAATTCCATCACCGAAGGTATGTTTTGCAATATGCAGTCTAAAAACGATCGTAGTAAGGTATGGAAGAGGATATGTCAATTTGTTAGGTATAATTAAAAATTATTCCACTTACAAGTTTGAGTATAAATAGGAAATTAAAGCAGTGATGGGTTTAAGCGAGAATCAGGAGATGTATGTCATTATTAGTTGAGCTATTTGATTATATTTAGTACGATGAGTTGACCATTTAATTAACGCTCAAAGGCCCAGTCTTAGCTAGACATCAATCTTTAATGTTGCAAAAATACTAAATCACGTGACAATGTAAAGATGACCTTATCTAGGTTTAATTCTTAATGTTAAGTGATCTGTGTCCTCGAATGTATAGTGGTAAAACAACATCGGTGAATATCCTATGACCTCTTAGTTTATGAATGGCGTTACAAACATTAGTTAAAACTATGAATTGTAAAGAATTAAATGCATTGTATCGGTTCACAGTCTAATATTTGCATTTTTATAATGTTCACAGAATTTTACGTCTATGAATGGCATATCTGACTGTGTGTCATGTTTTTATTGTAAACACTTAGAGTATGCGAAGGCTAGTCGATACTAAGAGAGGATGGTATAACCATAAACATGTGTCATATAATGGAAATGTTATTTTTATAAAAAATCAGGATCGTGGAAAGTTGTTAAAGGTTATATTTTATATTTTATGGTTGTTATTATAAAGATGTTATTGCATCTTTGTTTTGCTTATTGATGTCTTACACGTACACTCATTCAGTAAATAAAATATTATTTTTAATGTTTTGTTTTTTATAAGTTTTGTTTTGAAAAGAGATCGGGACCTCTTTCTTCGTGTCAATATGTTACTAACAAATGCACCATCAAAATATTTTTCGTTCGTGTCTTACAAAAGAGCTGTATTCTTTGCAACAAGCACTATTGTTGTTTTAATATACTTAAGAACTTTTCGTATTTCTCAGGCATGCAAATACATTTATCAAGTTTTTTTTGCAAAAAAGTTGTATCTTACTGTTATTAACATGAGAACGATGATTCGCACAAGGAGTTGCTCTGTCTTTGTTTGTATAATGTAATAAATTCCTGAACCTTCTAAGTTTATATCTCGGAGAATGTCTTGTGACGTCGTGTAAATTGTATCTAGTTTATGTAACGATTTCCCTCATTCATTTAAAACTATCTCTACGAATGTTGGCTGTTTAATATTTTGAATATGTGATAGAAAAGCATTTAATATTGTAATGTAAATGTGCTTCTTACCTACAGTAAGTGCAGTAATTCGTTTTCGTTGTACAGTATTTTAACGTTTTCCTACATTGTGGATTGCGTAGTGAATCATCGTTTGAGATTGAAAGCAGCGACTTGCACGCTTGATGTGATCGCTCTATCTGTTATTTGCCTACGTTGTTATCAATTTTATTAATGTGTATTCTTTTTAATTTATGTTATGTATTAAAAATGTAAACTAAGAAACAAGCAACAATTTGTGCATCTTGTAGAAAATAATGATTTAATGTAAATACATGGGTAGTTTTTAGTATGTTGAATAGTAATATTAAATACAAGAAAAGGTCTCAAATATTTTCCGACCCAGATGTCAATGATATTCAATTTGTGATTTTAATAATTTTATTACATGCATTCAATGACGATTACTTTGATCTGATAATGACTAATCCATGGTTGTGCATTAATAATTTTATAAATGTCATAATCAGAACTATTAAATAATTATGTAAATAACAACATACATAAAACTTTATAAACATATTTTTATTGTATTGTAATATGAACGCAGAGGTTGAGAAACAGCTGCAAGAGGGCGGCGGTCACGGCATCGGCTCGCATATGTCGGTGAAGAAATCAAGTGTCGGCGGGCCGGTGTCGTCTATTGCTGTGTCAGAGACACGCGCGGTGCAGATGCGACGCCCCACCAACCGGCGAGGCAAACAAGCACCAACGCCTCCCAAACGCACAAGGTCACATACATTTCATATTATTTTTACTGGACTCACATAGCGGGATATTGCTTTATGCACCCATGTGGGTTTTCGAACTGTTAAAGGTTTCTATAGTGTAAGTGTAAGGAATAATTGTACAGATGACTTTTAAATTACAAAAAAAAAGTGGTGTAGAATTATATGTTCTTAAATATCTATTCATTATAATCTTTACCCAACAATGATAAAGATATTGACAAATATAATTTTAAAAAAATCTTTAAAAACATGGACGCAATGAACATATGTAGGCGACATGAAAAGTGCGTGCGGGGATGTAAATAGTATGCGCACTCACATACACTGATTTATTTCTTGCAATCGACTATAAAATTATGTTTCTGTAGGATTCTTTACTTTGATCTTATCTTATTTCTTAAAACTGATCAGTGAAGCAAAGCAACTCTTTTTTGATTGAGTTCAAAACAACTGGTGATAATCCAACTTATTCTTGCTCGGATTACACTTATGATTTAGCAAATAAATTGTTGATTTGTTAGCAATATTTGAAAAGTGCGTTTTATTCGACAGCCTGCTGTCGTCGTGCAGTTCGTTCCGTGAGTCACAGTACGCGGCCGAAGAGCACGCCGCCCACGACGACCTGGCTTCTCTTAACGGTACGTAAACCCCACTTACATCAACTAGAACTAAAGATATAACTTACATTTATTCTCTCTGCAAAACGCCCTCCGAGATTATTAACACAAACCCACTTGAAAGTAAGTGATCATTTGGAACGTTTAAAAATCGACCGTTTTCGAACGTGTTATCATAAAGTATGCTCCGCGGAATACTAAAGGGCTACAAAGGCCCACGCCTTCTTGTTCGTTCGCGTGTTTGTCTACGCACAATTGCCTACTGGCATACTAAGCCTTGGCCCTCTGGTAAACTAAAAAAAATATTTTTAATCTGACTCTATTGTATTCTAATACTGAATTGGATTCAACACATTTATTGTCCAATTAATAGTTTATCAGTTTGCTGTAAATATTTAAAATTTCTTTCGTAATGTATCCATTTTGATATTATAGACAAGTTTGAAAGAAAAAAATGTTTTTTATTTGATGTAAGTTTAATGTGTAATATTTAAAAACATTCTTTGTGGCAGTAATTTTATGGTAAAGATACAAATTATGAAACAGTTTAGGAGCCACGCATTCAAAAATTCTTGTAGCATAGTCTCTTTGATATCATGTATCGATTTTGCCAACTCCTTGAAAGAGGATATTCCAAGTTTAACTTATTTATTTCTGATTTCGAAAATTGTATGTTAAATCATATAAAATCATCACACTTATAAAATCATCACACATCTACTCTTGTAACAATTTTCATATGTATTCGAATATCGCTTTTGCTGTTTGCTTCGATATGTCTATTTACATTTTATTTTTATTCCTAATGTGTTGCATTGGCGTATCGCGCTCAAAGTTAACTTTATTATGTACATATGCATAAAAATATATTGAATAATTAATATTAATAAACATTGTATAGTATTGGAAAATAAATTAATATATGTAATATTAAATATATGCATTATTTTTAAAATGGCGTTTTTGTTTGTTTATCCGCTCGCTCAGGTGTATAACAATAGGTTCAAAAATTTTGTAAGTATATGAAAAATTTCTCGGGTATAGAATAATCTTTATTACATAATATGTAATACTTGTATTCTTTGAAGTTTTCAGTGCATAGATTTTTAAAAAAAGATACTTTCCTTATAAAAGAGTTTTAATTAATCTTAACTAGTCAAATATATAGATGAAACGGTACGTCTGTCAGGATTCCAATTTATTTTAAAGAAATGATACATTTTTATTATTGATGTATTCGCGTTTCATAAAACACAGTTAATTTATATGTAATTATTAGGAAATATTTTTTTTTTCTTTACTTTATTTTGACAGTATTAAAAAATGGGAGTTGTAATAATTGTTGTATCTTGTAGTCTTGACTGACGTGCGATATAAATAAATATTGTCTATAAAATACGCCACGCAATACGATCTTTCCCTTAATCATATAATCATGCTTTTACAGAGTGCATTTTGTTTATATAACCTTGACACAATGTACACCTGCTACATTTGAACATGAATTACATAATATCCTCTCTATTCGATTGTTCACCATGCATTTTATTTTCAATCGAATCTGGTATGAAATTACATCATCATTTTACCAATTTGATGTCGAATTGGTTGAAAATGTACAACGTTTACTTCCTTTCATGGATTTTACTTTGTTATAAATACATGTATATTGTGTTATGTTTCTTTTATTCTGCTATTCCCTGCTTCGTTTTAATTTATTCTAATCATATTTTTAAATCTCGATTTTAATTTATTATAAGCATATACATTGTACATTTATCTAATTACTTAGTTAAAGCATATAATATTTTTTATTAATGTATTTAATTTATTATTTATTTATCTTACTCATACGTAGGTGCCATATGGGTGCGGTTTAATTATTCTTTTCTGAAAAAAATTGATTTTTTTTTGTAGGCATTCTTGTATTTATAACATAATAAAATAGCATGGAAAAAAATATTTTAGGGTTCGCTTTGTACCCGTGTTGCGTGGTCGTCTTCAATACATCCTTTTTTTTATTTATTATGTTGTCACTTTAGTGGCCGCTTCTTCATTGCATCCTCTATATCTGACTGCTTTAGATGCGTGATTTTTTCGTAATCTTGCATTTCAGTATTATTTTCTTCAATGCTTTGTTTTATCGCAATATCGGCATAATTTTCTTTTAGTTTATGACTCGCTTTGTTTACTCTATCATTTCCTTAAAATAGCATATAAATATATTAGGTATTTCGCTATTTAAACTTTACAAAAACAAATCAGAAATTTTATGTAAAAATTCCAGTGTGATAATGTAAAGAAACGTTTTGTTAAACACATTTTAGTCTGTGATATAATGCTTAATACCAGTAGTCAAGTAAGAGTTATAGCATAAAGTCAAAAATATACTCACTTTGAACTAGAATTTATACCTATAATGTATAAATTTTAGAGTGTTATAAGTGTTTGTTTTGTTTAGGTGGGGGGCGCGGTGGAGGGCGCGAGGCGTCGTCCGAGGGCTCGCTGGCGGA